CCCCTCCCTCTCTCTCCAGTGTTTGTCTTCCCCCAGGACAGGGCTGGCAGCAGGACTACGGCCCAGACAAATGTCTAGCCGGTAAACAGGGCACTAGTGATTCCCCTTAGCACCCCCAAATCTCTCTTGGCTTGGAGAAGTGAAAACCCCTGTTATTTCCCCTGCCCCTGGGAATATGCTCACAAGGAACTCTGTACCTCCCCCTGGCTAAGGACTCTGAGCCCCTTATTCCAGCCCAGACTTCTCCTTACAGACCCAGGACAGGGGCAGGGTTGGTGGTATTAGGGCCAGCTCGGCCATTACCTTCTTGAAGGGTGGTTAAGAGCTCGTTAGAAATCCAGCGTGCTTAGCAGTTTTTGGGTCACCTTTGGGCATTGGTAGCCATTCCAACACAACAGAAAAAATCTCACTCACACCCTGTTACATACAATTCTAATTGTGAGACGTGTAAGGAAGGAAAAGAACAGGGTGCTGTGAGAGGAAATGTCATGCTCTGGGATCACACTGCTGGGTCTCAAATACCAACTCTGCCCCTTATTCATTGTGTGATCTTGGGCAGGTTACTTGGCCTTTCTGTGCCTCAGCTTCCTTATTTGTAAAACGGTGATGATAACAGTACATATCTCATAGGACAAAATAAGAAAATGTAAATAAAACTCTTAGCATAGCGCCTAGCACATTAATAAATGCTCAGTAAACATAAGTTCCCTTAGGGATCCAGGCACCGAACAACCAACACTTGATGAAATAATGAATGAGGTAGTCAGATCCCATCGCTACAAAAATTTAAATATTAGCTAGACATGGTGACACATGCCTATAGTTCCAGCTATCTGGGAGGCTGAGGCAGGAGGATCACTTGAGCCCCAGAGGTTGAGGCTGTAGTGAGCTGTGATCATGCCACTATACTCCAACCTGGGCAACAGAGCAAGACTCTACCTCAAAAAAAAAAAAACCAAAAAAATAGAATTACACATAGATTTCCAATCCATATTAGAAAGGCTAACAAGGACCATATTATGTGAGGTTTGAGAAGAGAGGGCAGGAATATATTTTATTCACTCCCGTAGATTCAGTGCCTAGCACATAGTAGAAGCTCAGTCAGTTGTGTGAGTGTGTGTGTGTGTGTGTGTGTGTGTGTGTGTGTGTGTGTGTTGAACTGAAACTATGTTATGTACAAAATCCCTCCCATGGAACCCAGGGGATGTTGGTAAAATTAAACCATGTGAAACTTGAGTAGTGTTAATGTTTTGTTCATAAGTTTCATGGATTTTGCATATATTTTATGGCATTTATATTAAATTCATAAATAAAATTTTAAAAAATAATAACGAATGAGGGAGAATGATTGGGAATATCTATCTGAGATGGGGTAGCTGGAGAAGACCACTCTGAGAAAGTGACACTTAGGTTTTGACATAGACGAGAAGGCAGAAGTCAGCTGAAGAGCAAAGGGATCATATTGCCCCAGGATCAGATTACAGAATAGACCTAGAAAATTCGCCTTTGACATTTTAATACCATGTATAATACAGGGTTATAAGATATTAATTCGCTCTGGGCCAAAGATTGTCATAACTCCCAGGAGCCAAAGTCCTCCAGATACCTCTGTCTCCATCGCAGCAGCTCTAACTGTGCAGCTAGTTGCCACAAAGGCAGTTGATTTGGGGGGTTGTTTCCATTTTTCAAAGTTGTTAGTCAGGACTTTGGTAGCAATGAGGTCAAGATCCTGGCTAAATGGTAAGTCTGATTTCACATGATCTAAATGGTCAGAGCCAGAGAGTGTCAGCTACCCCAAGGAAGAGAGTATATCATAAATCCAGAGTAGACATATGAACAAGCAGTTTATAGATTGGGCTTTACCCAAAGATTAATTTTAAAGGTCGTATCATCCAACAGAGTACATAACTGGACACCTGAGTCTGTGCATGTCTCTGGTTACAGCTGATTTTAGTTACTTTGAATCTGGTCAGCATTATAAATGGCTGGGATAAAGTATCTGCCAGAGGAGTTGGCATAAGCATGTGACTCACCAGCCCCTCTGACTCAAGGGACCCATAGTTGTCCTGAGCTGTTAATCCATTGACAGAGCATGAGTGAGACAGAGTGGTTGTGAGAAGCTGTACTGACAAATAGCCAGGAACACCCACTGCCCATTGTTATGACTGTATCCTTTTGCGATGCAGAGCATCAATATCTTATGTGGCCTGATCAATGTTTTCAAGCACACTGAACCTAGATGGTGATATAATGGAACTGTTGACACTGTTCCCAAGACACCAGGATGTCTCCACCCAAGTTTGATGGCGTTTGTGTATGATAAATAAGGGCTGGGATACTGTGCTAGAAGTCAGAAGGGCGGTGTGGTATAGATGCCTATTGTTATAGGTGGTTACTTGGTGTCAGAATGTCAAAGGAGGTTGGTCTTCATGTTAAGTAGGATTGACCTTTCTGTTACCCAGAGCCCCAGGTGTAAGCACTAAGAATTTAAACAAGTAACTGATCATTCACAGAAATACCTAAGGATTTAGCTTTTATTTTTGTGTTTGCAGCAGCAGTGAGAGCACAATGGAATGTTTGACACAACTTGATACAATCTAGCATCTCAAAATAGTAAAGAAGGTTGTAAATAACACATAAAAATGGTCTATTGTCATGAATTCAACCACATCCTAAAGGCTGCCAGAACAATGCTTCCAAATCCCAGATGTTCCAAAACAATTTATTATTCTTAAAGGTTATATAGGGAAGCTATCACCCTCACCCACCCCCAAAAAAATAGGGAAAAGAAAATAAAAGCCCTGCATAGGATGCAAATGAAAACATCTCTACTGTGCTTGTAGGTACTAATAAAACCTGTTTATAATTTTTATTATAAAATTTTATTTACATATAAAATAATGTATAATATATATAAAATAAATGTTTGCTTAAGAAGGAGATTGCTGCAATATTTGGATCCTCCTTGATAACCCACCCCAATTTCCTCCATCCCCCTACCCAGAAGTAATCACCAGGCCAAGTTCTACTTTTTATTTCCTTGCTTTATTATTTTCATACATATGAAATATATATTCATTAAATCTATATATATTCAGTTTTGTGTGGTTTGAACTCTAGGTAAATGAATCACACTGTATATATTTTCTGCAACCTGCCTCTTTTGCTCAATTTTATGTTTGTGAAATTCCTTCGCGTTGGTAGGAGTAGCTGCCATTCATCTTCACTTATGTTTTGTATTCCATTGAAATGATAGAATTTATTTATCCATCTACTTTTAGTGGATATTTGTGTTAATTTCCATTTTTGCTTTTATAAATAACAGTTATAAACATACTTATATATCTCGATATAGATGTGCACGAGTTTCTCTGTAGGATATATACATAGAAGTAGAATTGCTCTGCATCTTTAACTTTACAGTGCCAGAGTGTTTCCCAAGTGGTGGCACCAGTTCATACTCTCACCAGCAGAGTATGAGACCCATTGTTCACAAACTCATCAACACTTGCTTTTTACAGATGTTTAAATTTTTGTCATTCAGGTAAGTGTGAAATAATATCTCATTGTAGTTTTAATTTGCATTTCCCTGGTTATTAATGAGGTTGACAATCTTTTCACATGTTTATTGGCTATTTGTGTTTTCTCTTCTGTGAAATGTGTATTCAAGTCCTTTTGTTTGTTTTTCTATAGGTTTTAATATTAAGTATTGGACTTCTTTATATATTCTGGATACTACTCCTTTGTCAATTATAGCTGCTCCCAGTTTGTAGCTAATCTTTTCACTTTCTTTATGTTGTCTTTTGGTTTTTTTAAAAAAACCAAAGATTGTTGCATAGGTACACATATGGCAGTGAGACTGGCTTATAGTTTAACATTCCTTTACTGTTCTTGTAGGATTTCAGCGTCAAGGTTTCAGCGTCAAGGTTGTGCTAACTCATAAATAAGTTGAGGAATGTTCCCCCCTTTTTTATATACTCTGAAATATTTTGTGTAAGATCAAAGATATTTGACCTTTTAATGTTTGATATAACACATCTATAAAAACATCTGGACCAGTTATTTTATTTGTGGGTGTATTTTAAACTACAAATCTTAAACTACTAATCTTATATGTTTATAGGAGTAATCAAGTTTTCTATTTCTTACTGGGATCATTTTAATACAGTATACTTTTTGAGAAATGTTTCCATTTTATCTAAGTTTTCAGATATATTAAAGTTAATCACAATACCCTATTTTTTCATTTCTGCATTACCTATAATTGTGACTTTTTTTTAAATTCCCATTTTAGTGTTTTCACTTTTATCTTCATTCATTTTCTCGAAGATTTGTCTTTTTTACTGCTTTCTGGGTGAGCTCGTATTTCATGAAAATTCCTTGAGGCTTAGGTTGAAGGCACACTCTTACAGTGAGCATGTGTGCTTGCTTTTACTGAGCACCTGGGTACTGCAACCAAGGACCATTTTATTTATTTATTTATTTATTTAGTGGGACAGAGTCTCAATCTGTGTCCCAGACTGGAGTGCAGTGGCACAATCTCAGCTCACTGCAACTTCCGCCTCCCAGGTTCAAGCTATTCTATGGCCTCCCGGGAAACTGGGATTACAGACGTGTACGACGCCCAGCTAATTTTTGTAATTTTTAGTAGCGATGGGGTTTCACCATATTGATCAAGTGATCTGCCCGCCTCAGCTTCCCAAAGTGCTGGGATTACAGGTGTAAGCCAGAGCACCTAGCCACCAATAACCATTTTTTAATAAATTCTTGGCTTGAGGTTTTTCAGAGCATGAAGAATATGAATTCAGGTTGTAAATCCATAGAGAACCAGATGGTGTTTATGAATGTTAGGAAGAGTTGATGGGGGCTTTTATTCCATCTATTAGATTGGTGCAAAAGTAATTGCAGTTCAAACCATGAATTTTAAATCATTATAGCTAGGCTCAAACATATCTTTATTAATCAAAATAGGAACCATTACAGTCAACACATTTTTGCCAATGAGAAATGTTTGTTTATTCCTGTAGCATAAAAATCAATACTTCAGGATTCAACAAACTTTTCTGCATCCTGCTGGTTATAGAAGCGTTTTCCCTGCAAAAAGTTGTTGAGACGCTTGAAGAGGTGAAAATAGCCGGTTGGTGAAAGGTCAGGTGAATATGGCCGATGAGGCAAAACATCATAGCCCAATTCATTCAACTTTTGAAGCATTGGTTGTGCAACGTGTGATAGGGCATTGTCATGGAGAAGAATTGGGCCCTTTCTGCTGACCAGTGCTGTCTGCAGTCATTGCAATGTTCAGTGCATCTCATGGATCATCAGATGTAATGGTTCTGCCAGGATTCAGAACGCTGTAGTGGATCACACTGGCAGCAGACCACCAAACAGTGACCATGACCTTTTTATTGTGCAAGTTTGGCTTTGGGAAGCGCTTTGGAGCTCCTCAGTCCAACCACTGAGCCGATCATTGCTGGTTGCTGTATAAAATCTACTCTTTGAGACGTCATAATCCGATCAAGAAATGGTTCATTGTTGTTGTGTACAGTAAGAGAAGACAACACTTCAAAACGACTATTTTTTTAATTTTCACTCAGCTCCTGAGGCACCCAATTACCAAGCCTTTTCACCTTTCCAATTTGCTTCCAATGCCAAATGACTGTAGAGTGGTCGACGTTGAGTTCTTAGATAACTTCTCATGCAGTTGGAGGAGGACCAGCCTCGATGATTGCTCTCATTTGGTCACTGTCAACTTCTGATGGCCAGCCACTATGCTCCTCATCTTTAAGGCTCTTATCTCCTTTGCAAAAGTTCTTGAACCATCACTGCCCTGTATATTTGTTAGCAGTTTCTGGGCCAAGTACATTGTTGAAGGTGCAAGTTGTGTCCACTGCTTTACAACCCATTTTGAACTCGAATAAGAAAATCACTCAAATTTGCTTTTTGTCTAACATCATTTCCATAGTCTAAAATAAACATAAAATAAATAAGCAAGTAACAAGTCGTAAGCAAAATAAATAAATAAATCGAGAAATGCCCATTAAAATGATGTATAACATAACCACATTTATTTAAGAATGTATTCCAATATCAAAAGGTAAATCCCAACAATGCAAAAACCACAATTACTTTTGCACTCACCTAATCTCTAAAGCTAATGTTGAGACAGGCATCTTTCGTAACTGAATTTCTCCATAAAAGTTATGTTATTTTCTTACTGAGAGTATATCCTGTCTAGGTCTTAGCAATACCAGATATTCACTGTGACACTCCCAACTCACCCACACACCATATTGGGCCCTAATCCTTTGTCTTCTGTCCCCTTAGCAGTCATAGCTGTTAAAAACAAATGTTGGTAACCTAGGGATTAACAAATAGCTTCAGGACAGGTGCCAGTTCAACGCACATTTACCTCTCTAAAGACTTGCTTTTGCTTTTCATATAGGAGGGCAGAGAAGACCTTTAAGGCCATCGTTACTCTTCCCAGCTCAGCTTGATAATTCTAAAAATATAATTAGAAAGCATTTTATCTAGCATTTTTAGATGTTTCATACTGGGAGGATTTGGGAGAAGGCAGTCTAGACTTTAAAATTTTCAAGGCCAAAGTCATCTTGGTCATGTTGTATAGGGCATAACTTTGGGGATGCTATCAAACACTTCTTTAGGTACTACAATAATCTCTAGAGTACTCCTAAAGAGCAGAGGTGAAATAGTTTTTCAGCCAGGCTACAAACCTGGTTATATTCTTCAATTTTTATAGTAATAAAGTGTATTTATTCCCTTCTTCTTATAATAGGATGAGGCATTGGACTAAATGCTTTATACAAGTTATTTCACTTAAGATACAACATGTAAGGTTATGACAAAGTAATTTGCAATAAACTAATGTTCCTGATGAGAATAATCAGAAGCCATTAAAAAAATACCCCAAAACTTTTTTGAAAACATTGGAGAGTTTCTGAGACAACCAGGGCCTGAAATAAGCAGAAACTACACAGAGAGAATCAAAGATCTAATGGACTTACACTTCTGAATGTGAGAGGAGCTTTGAGGCAGATCAATACTAACATACAGGTCAACTAAAAATGCAGGAAAAAAATGCCAAAAAATCATTTAAAGGCATTAAAGAGCTACTTAAACAAGTAGGACTTTATGGTTAGGTTGAGTTTTTTTTTTGTTTGTTTGTTTTTTTACCTGGATGTATTTGCTGATTCTGGGAAGGCAAAAAGCTAAGAAGCTGAGTGTTGCCTGGGAAGAGGGCCAATAGCATTGATAGAGCCATCGATGGCCTCATAGAGCTAGAAAGAAGAAAATGTAAAAATTCAGAAGTCAATATCCTGGTGAGGAGGGTGTATGTGGAAAACTGAATCTAACACTCAGCCTATTTTTCACTCAAGATATTTGCCAAACTCTGAAGGGAAGGAGAAAGAGGGAAGGAGGCTAAGAGGCCCACCAAAAAGACTGAAAATCAGAGGGGAGTTCTGGCAGATTCAGTATGCTGAGAAACAAAGATTAGAGTTCAAAACCTTCCAGGAGGAGGAACCCTGGTGCAAACATCAAACTCTCAGCTTTAGAAGGCTGTAGATTAGGAGCAAAGGTGAACCAAATATAAATATAGCTTTACCAAGACTGCAACTTTGCCTTGACTCAGCTCAATCCCTCATTGAACTCAGGCAAGCAGCCCTGAATCTGTCTGGCAGAAGAAACAGTGAATACTCTCTGAAGGAAGATTATACATCTGGTGAAATTCTCTATCTTTTCATCTGTTTTCTTGAAAAACAAAAAAAATTTTTAACAGGTTCTCACTCTGTCACCCAGGCCGGAGTGCAGTGGCATGATCACAGCTCACTGCAGTTTCAACCTCTCAGGCTCAAGGGATCCTCCCACCTCAGCCTCCCCGGTCGCTGGGACCACAGGCCCACAACAGCACACCTGGTTAATTGTTGTGTTGTGTTTGTTTGATTGATTTGGATTTTTTTGTAGAGACTGGGCTTTGCTATGTTGCCCAGGGTGGTCTCAAACTCCTGAGCTCAAGTGATCCACCCAGTTTGGCCTCCCAAAGTGCTTGGTTTACAGGTATGCACCATAATGTTCAGCCCTAAAATTTTTAATATCTATTTTTGTTATATGTAATACTGGTCATTTAATCAAACATGACAAGAATACCAAGAGGCAACACCACATAAAAAAAGAAAAAAGTATATAACAGAATCAGACCAACAGGAGATTCAGATTTTGGAATTAGTAGACAAGTACTTTGTGATTAAACATCATTAATATTTCCAAGAAAAATAGAGGAAAGGGGGGAATGGATGAAAGATGAAGATGTTCACAGAAAATTAGAAACTATCAAAAATAACTATAAAAAAATTTTAACTCAAAAATAGAGCTGAAATTTTGAAAATGCAGACATGTGCTTAAAAGCAGAATTAGACATAGCAGAAGAAAGGCTATGTGAACTGGAAAACAAGTCAATAGCAAATATGTGAACGGAAGCCCAGACAGAAAAAAAGAGTGGGAAATAGAGAAAAGAGGAACATGTAACACAAGTCTAATCAGAATCCCAAAAAGAAAAGAGAAAGAACATGAGACAGAAGAAATATTTGAAGAGCTAATAGCAGAGAATTTTCTAACCTCTACCTAAATCCCTACCTAGAAGTATATATTTACTGAAACTATATTTCAAAAATGAAAGCTAAAGATTTTTTCAATTAAACAAAAACTGAGAGACTTCTTCACCAACAAACATACATTTAAAGAAATACTAAAGGGATTTCTTTTCAGGCCAAAGGAAAAACAATCCAAGATGGAAACACAGAAATACAGAAAGAATAACAGAATGAGTAAAACACAGTTAAATAAAAAATAATGGTGACTGAACAAAACAACATGATACTATCTCATGGGGCTTAAAGTATATTTAGTACTAAATACATAATAAAATGCAAATAATAGGAAGATGGTAAAGTGCTTAAGGTCCTAGCTTTATCAAAGAAGGTGTCAAAATGATCATTTTTACTCTACTGTAAGAATCAATGATGTGTGTAATCACTAGGGTAATCACTAAAAGAAAAGGAAAAGAATCTGTAACTAACAAGTTAATAAACTGGAAAAAAATAGAATAACAAAAAAAATCCAAAAGAAGACAAGAAATAAATGAAAAAGAACATAAACGAATGGGTCAAATAGAAAACAAATAATAAAATGGCATACATCAACTCAACTATATGAAGAATGGGGTTAAATACAAACAGACAAAATAGTCTACTTAAAAGGTACACTATGAAGAGTTTTGAGAAGTATCATTTTGTAAGTGTTGTGACCACATTAAGTCTGAGCTCAAGCCTTAGCTCCAACACTTACTAACTCTTTGACCTTAGACAAGTGACAAATCTTGTCTGTGCCTCAGTTTCCTCTTCTGTAAAATGAGCTTAATAAGAGAAACCACCTCATAGAACTGTTGTGAGAGTTAAACAAGTCTATAACTTAGAACGGTGCTGCGTTATATAATTATTAGTCACTTCATATGTGTCCCTACCCAAATCTCACCTTGAATTGTAATAATCCTCATGTGTCAAGGTTGGGACCAGGTGGAGATAACTGAATCATGAGGGCAGTTTCCCCCATACTGTTTTCGTGGTAGTGAACAAGTCTCATGAGATCTGACAGTTTTATAAATGGGAGCTCACCTGCCCAAGCCCTCTTGCTTGCCACCATGTAAGACATCCCTTTGCTCTTTCTTTGCCTTCTGCCATGATTGTGAGGCTTCCCCAGCCATGTGGAACTGTGAGTTCATTAAACCACTTTCCTTTATAAATTACCCAGTCTTGGGTATGTCTTTATTAGGAGCGTGAGAACAGACTAATACACCACTGGTATTAGCCTCACAACAAGCTTGTAAATAACCCGTTTCATAGAGAATTAAATTGAGACTTAAGTGATAGTGCAACTTACCCAAAATTACCCAGCTGGGGTGTTACTATGAAGTGATAGGATAGAGAAGTGAAAATGTCTCTAGCACTCATGCTCCATGACAGCAGAAATCTTATTTGTCTTGTCTTGTTCATTACTATACATTCACTGCCAAACACACAGTTAGTGCTCTATAAATATTTGTTGGGTAAATGACTGACTCTTACTACAGTGCTATTTCAGATACTGTATTCTCCCAACCAGTAACATAGAATACTAATATTAGTACTAAGTCCTTATTTGAGAAAAGAATCTCAAAAACTAATACCAATCTTCAACCAGAATCACCTGAGTTTAAGCCACTGAC